AAAAATAGTTTATTGTATCTTTTTCTTTTTAAAGATAAATTATCTTTATCCATTTTATCTAATTTTGAATTAATTGCTTATAATTAAAAGGAATCGTTATTCATAAAGATGAATCGAAATTGTTTATAGGATTCAGATTGTGTAAAGCGTACGGATCATCAAAACATACACATATAATAGACGGAGCGTCTCTGTAGAAAAATACGCGCATCGCTATATAGTCCACGCACCACGCATGCGCACAAAGATCTGGCAGAAAGATTTCCCTCCATTTTCCGTATTAACACTGCCGAGCGGCAACAGCACGTACAAACATGTTCACTTACGTTAAATTTGAAGACGGAATAAAAGCAATTGTGGATACAAAGGACATAGTAGATTTTAATATAAAAGACATACAATATGATAAAAAATACCAAGTTAAATGGGACGATGGTCACTTTTATTACGGAATAATAGGACGAATGCAACAGAAAGCAATTCTAGAAGGTATATATATATAGTATATAGTATTAGGGTAAGAAACTCAATAATGTTATATCTTGAAAATTTTAATCTCTTAGTAAGAATTGTATTCTTAACCCTATTTCCTCCAACCATGCCCTTTCGTATCACGCGAGTTTATCAAAATTTCGATGGGACACGAAAGTGCATGGTTGGAAAATTACATCAGTGTTGGAAAATATTGTTTGTAAAGTATTATATAAAGATAATTTTTAAAATAATGCTTTCTGTTTAATGATACAAGTCAACGGAAACATTATCTTATATTTATTATTATAGAATATAGTTAGGTTAAATGAGGTTAGAATTTTGAATAATGCTTGTATCATCGTTACATTACAAATAGGAAGCATTCAACATAAAGTGCACCGTGTTGATACTGGCATAATAAAATACTAATGTTAAATGATTTATTTGTAAGACTTCCCTTTACAGTAAATATCAGACGTTATATAATCGTTTAGATTTATGAAAGATCATATATAACTGCCAAGTATAAAGTAATGTAATTGCATACTATAATGTAGTGTATATAATTGGCCTTATTTTAAAAAATAAACAAGTATATACTAAAGAGTACTATATTTTATAATATAATATTAAATATATTATTTTGTACACTTTAATATTATGCATGTATATAACATATATTTATAAATTTATTTATGAAAATAATCACGATCATTCTGTACTAAATATCTTTTTTTATATGATAGAAACCAAAGAAGCAGTTGACGTAAAAATAAAATGTAAAAGAGTAGAGTTTTCGCCTCTGAATCTTTGCATCTCAGCAACAGAAGTTGAAAGTGAATCAGACGTTGACGGCAAAAATGTAACTTTTTTATAAATACATGTTTGAAAATATTTTATTTTCTTTCCAAAGTAGACTTTAAACAAAAAGTTACACTAAATTTTTTCAGAGCTTAAAAGGAGACGATATAAAAAACAGAATTGCTGCAAAAATCAAGAAATTAGACACTGCATTAATTCAAAAAGATAATAGTAAAAAATTGTCATCTAATACTAACAATGGAAGTCATGTAAACAAAACAGCCAAAGTAAAAGATCATTTTCTAAGCAAGAATGTAAAAAAAAAGGGATGTTATCTAAAGAAGATGGAAAAAATGAGAAACAGAATCAAATAAAGGTAAATACATTTTTATTCATAATTATAGTTTATTTTAACTAAAAAAATACAATAATATAAGTTTCTATTTTATTATTCATATTTTTGACAGAAATCATCAGTTTCTGTAAAAGATTCCAGTAACAACACTTTGAAACAATCAATATCGCAAATAGATAAGAATAAGTCCGACAAACAACATGAATTAATAAAAGGCATGACAGATAATCACGAACAAGGTGAAAAACGTAATGACAAAGTTGTTTTGTCAAATACAGAAAAAGTACATGATTCAAAGGAAAAAGTAAGTTGGTACTGTTTGTAGTACAAAAATTTTAATGATTCTTTTTACAAATGTGATTCAGAAGTTGTAGTTTGCAGGAACATACCTTGTTATATTATTTCTAGTTGTATTTCCAGTTTTTATTTATTTTCCAGGAAATGGTATCACCAGCTGTGATTACCAAGAGTAATTTAGAATTGGGTTCTACGCAATGCTCACAGAATAGTTTGATCATTAATGATAATTTTGATACATTACATTCATGTACGAATAATGAAAAAAGTGTTTGTAATGACAATAACAGCAAAACTATACATAAAACTCAACTTGAAAACAATTCTACTGAGCTTAAAAAAGGATCTAAAGATAAATTATTAAAAAAGGTAACATTAACCTTAATTTCTTCTCTTAAAACTGATGCTTTGAGTTTGCAATTAATACCTCATTCTTCGTGGATTTGTTTTTGATATTTTATGAATGTATCAAATTTACTTTTTGGAGAAAAAGGAGAACTTGAAACAGGTACAAATTGTTTCTTTCTTTAAAATATTCACGAAACATTGAAAAAAAATTCATGAAGAATGCGACTAATTCGGAATTTAGATCAAACGTTTTTCTACATTGCAAAGGCCTCAAATATCATATTCTAAATAATCTAGAATTTACACAAGATTAAATTTTCATTAATATAAAT